TAATAAATGTCTTCTCTCTCAAGATTTTATTAAAACTAGAGATCCTGCGTACAAAATGCGGTTCGTGTTCAGTCTCTGGGGATCGATTCTGTATCTTGAAACAAGGGAAAAATGAGTATAAATTTATTAGATGTGGTAATGAAATTATAAATATTCTAATAAATTTGCTCAATTTTGTAATTTTCACCTCGTTTCAAGATATGGAATCAACTCCCTGATTAAAGGATCTCTAGATGTTGACATATAAAGAAAGACTATTATTTAATTCAATTAATGTAATGTATTCATATATGATATGCATAAGTCTTGCGATCTTATCAAAAAATGATTTGCACTTATCTTTTTAGCATGACGTATATCATACCGATAATACTATTTAATCAGAGATAACGTGCTCTAGCATTAGCAAACGAGCACGTTATTGAGGCGTCTTCTCTCTATAATTTTTTTTTATAAGACTGACAATTAACTTCCACGTCTCTCGAGTATCGCATGAGCGCGGTTCTATTTTAAATTGCAGACTCTATACCTTTTCTTAAATCAGTCTACACTTTATCTATTTGGCTTTGCTCAGCTTTGCTCGCACCGATAACGCGGATGACATCATTGATTTGTGCATGTTGATCTGGGCACTTATCATGGAATCAGTCGATTCTATGACTGAAATTAAGCCGTTTTTTTTAGAAATACAATATAAATCTAGGGAATAGTTAAATAATTCTGATCATTTCGACTTGTTCCATAGATGCCTTTACGATTTCTTGCTGGTGAATGAATTAATTTTCAGGATAAGCAATTGTCTTTAATGAAGTTCTATTACCGATTCGCGCGATTTTGAGAAATTATATTTTATTCGGAAAATAAACTGTTTCTATGAATTCTGCATGTCATCACTTATCTATCGCATTATCGGTTAAGCGGAACGGCAAATACGTTTTGTAAACTGCATCGCAAAATATTTAACAATCCTAGATGTTTAAGCGATATAATGTCAGTAGTTTGGCAACAAGTTGAGGAAATCATAACTTCCGTAACCTGAGCAAATCTGTATTATTCATAATCGTACATTTAATCGAAGAATCTTCATAGAAGAAAAGATAAAGAATCTTTATGTCAAAATCTCGAAAAAATTTCTGCGCTATTTCTAGTTCTGAATTATTTTAAAAGTCACTTAAAAGGATTTTGCATTTCATATTGCAAGAATACAACTTAGAATATATAATAATTGCATAAATTTATTTAATTTATACAAGACCTATTTGCATTTAGGATCACGATGTCTTGAATTGCTATTGAGTACACGTTTTTGTTAACTAATTAAAAATTACTTATTAATTCTTTTCAAACATATTCTCATATATTGAATATACGAAACTCAAGTATTTTGTTCTTAATTTTATTCAATCGATTAGTCTAACTAAAATCAAATTTGTATTGCAGGAATATATATGAAGATTCTAAAAATATAATTCGTTGATTATAATTACAGAACGGAATGCATTCGAATACTTGAAAATACAATAAATTATTGCAGTACTTTACATCGAATCCAATCCTAGAATATAGAACCGCAAAGAATTGAGAAGAAAACTGTTTCGCAGACGGGCACGAGGATATGATTCCACGGAACACACAATTAAGAGACGGCTTTCGCATATTCACAATTGAAGAAATGGGCGGAATAAAGGCCTAATTACAAAATCTTGATATTAATAAAACTTAAAATACTTTTTTTATTACATATAAATGGATACAGTATTAAATGAATTTATGTAATGTCTTTAAGAAGTTACATGTTACTTTTCTATTACGATTAATATTACATGAAAAAGCTAATTACCGGAAAAAGGGCCTAAGTGTGCCTTTATTTCACTTATCCCCTCAATTATACTTCAGTCATGCGTTCAGGCATGCGTAGGTGTATCCAGAATCCTTACCTTCCAGTTTCTCGGCGACCAATTATCCGTCATGCTGCAGATACACGATAGCCCGCGCGATACAGCGTGATGTACAGTGCGAAGAACTGCCGTGACAATGTCGCGACAATGCCGAGTGTCTCGCGCGCGTGTGAGTTGTTTTTCGCCGGATGAGTCGCGTAGCCGAGTACGTATGTATTTTACTCGCGAGCTTGCGTGCTGACGAGGAATCGGCTGCGCGTATGTCCATTTGAAATATGTACAACATAGTATTGTTGAACACAAACACAGGAGACAATAGCACGAAAAGGAGCTCCGATTAAAAAAACATTGATTATCGCTTTTACGAAATACAAAAACTGTTATGTATCGTTAGATCATTCTACTTATTAATATCATATTAACTCATAGTTTGCAACGATCGCATATGTAATAATTTAGCGTCGTGATCTGCGCGATTGTCATGTAATTAAAATTTGTGACGAACAAGCCATTATTTTTCAAATTGCGAAATTAAAACTCATCTGTTTTTAACTAAGAAGAAGCGCCAACTGCGGCTTTATGTAAAATAATAATTCTCTTATATAAATGTATAATTTATTTTAAATACATTTTCTTCAGATATATAATTGCATGTCGATTACTTTCGGATTACTTGCAACAAAATCAAAATAAATTGATACATATATCTTGAATATATATTAATATATTTAAAATAAATTATATGTATTATTCCAGTATCTAAGTTTAATCGTAATTGAAACTTCTTTCTTAGTTGATTTACATTCATATATGCGATTTTGTTTGTAACTTATATCGTCTATCTAACTTATATCATCTATTTTACTTATATTTGGAGATATATATTAATTTTTTTAATTAAAAATCTCTTTAATACATACTTATACATTATGTATATATATTTTTAAAATATATTTTATACATATATAAAATTAAAAATATTAATTTTATACATATATATAAAATATATTTAAAAATAAATTCAGCTGCTCAATTTAAGAAAATTAATATTTCTAAGTAAAGAAGTAATTCATGAGTTTTAACTTTTTTTCGAAAAGCATTCTTTCCGTATTGGTAAACCGCTTTCAAATAACGTTTGGTCTCGAATATTACACTAAAAAGCGATGAATCGAAGTGAAATTATGTTATCCAATCGTCAAAATCTCACCGGAGATCTTAAAATAAGTCGTGGTGAATTTAGCGTTGATAGTGTGACGTCGTGAGATGCTTTCATTCACGAATCTGCTCTATTTATGTTCTCACATTATGCAACGAACAAACTTGAATGAACGACTATTGCAGCTGCGATACATATATCGATCGGATGATTTGGCGGTCTAAAATCGAAGCAGATTTATTATCGACGCAGATTAACGTAGATAGACGATATTAGCGTTTCGATAAATAACATTGATAAATATGAATGAATCCATTTTTAGATATGCTAATTATATTTATAATCGCAGTGTCGTATTTACATAATTCTCAGATAACAAAATGTGTCTCAATAAAATCGCACAAATCTATGATTGCTTATGATGCTGTTGGCAACTTGCTGTAGATTTATCTTCAACGATTTCAAATATACCGACATTGTAGCAACATGCAGACAACAATGTGTATATGTATATTGCCAACAGTTTAGCAGGAAGATAGCTGCGTCAATGTTATCTTGCGTTGGCAATATGATAGCATTATATGATGCTGCATATTATTATGGCAACATGATGGCAATAATACGAATTTTGATGGTGACGATTTTAAAATTGTCGCCAAATTGCTGGCAAATTGCTACTCTATGTTATCATATTGTGAAGGCGCATCAAATTGCCAACAAACAAGTGAAATAAAGACTCAGTTGCTACAATTTTGGTAGCAACACACACTTAGTAATGCATATATATTTAGCAAGCAATATCCCAGATAGCACAAAATACTAAAAGATAAAAGATCTTTTAATTTTGTCGGAAAGACAACTTAAAAAAGACATCTTTTCGTCATCTTTCTACGATTGTCATTTTCGCAAAGCAAAAGATCGACTAAAAGATATCTTTTTCGTCGAAAAGACAACATGAAAAAGATATCTTTCCATTATTTTGGTACTTTTTATCACTCATTCGCGAGCAATACGCGAGATCGCCACCAGATGGACGTGATAGAGTTCAGTTTCTCATATTTGAAAATTATACGGGACAGAAAAGACGCAGCATTATAAGAAATTTTACTTACGTTCTAATATGTATACGTACATATATACTATACGTTCTAATGAATACTAATCAAATATTATTTTGTAATCGAGTCCCCAAATGAAACTATGATGAAAGATAATGATTTACACATAAGATATAACAAAGATTGGACAGGAAATGGGACATATTGTCAGTCAATTTTATTTTGTTTTGTATAAAAATTAATTTAGAATTCGATAATTAAATTCGATAATTTGATTATTAAACGATATATGTACAAAATATAAAAATTAAAAGAAGTATTAAAGACGATTAAAAGATATTTAAAGAAGTCCTTTAGATATCATATGGATAAGACTATAAAATTACTAACAGTGCGACATCTGTCGTCTTTTAGTCATCTTTTTGTCAATTATATTCTTTCATTAAAAGATATCTTTATAATAATTTAGTCGTCTTTTAGTTATCTTTTAGACGACTTTATGCTCTCTGGGATGTTAAGAATAAGACAGAATAAGACACGATGCTATTTGAATTCGTATTATAATTGTTATGGTCATTAATTTAAAAAATAGCACATGCATAAGACGGGAAACGTATTTATTTACAAGTAAAATTTATTATCATTTTTGAATAAACTGCTATAAAAAATAAGATTGTAGAATTTATATATGAAAAGTAATATCTTCCACTTGGATATATATATTCAATTGAATGAATATTCAAATGAATTTTTAAGCTAAAAGAAGAATTATCCTTTAATTGTTTAATTTGGACAATTTATTTATGCACCTCTTACAATTATTTTATTTATATTTGTTTTAAAGAACATTATACGATTCGTTGAAGGAAAATCTCGCCAATAGTTGGCGCTCGCAGACAATTATTTTCAAATCTGATAGACTGTTGACGCGTAACCTATAAGAAGTGGGTTTTAATAAATTATAATAATGGTAAGCATGTTATTCTCATTCAGTTATTAAGAGACCCGCTTCGTTTTTTAAATACATATTCTTTAATTCTTTTCAGTTACCTCTAACTTTACTAAAAACAGCGCAAAATCACCCCATGGTAAGTCCTGGATTTGTGCATATCTCTTGAAGAAGAATGTTTAAAGAGGCTTTGTATATTACTATATTAATAATCCAACTAAGTATTTTATTGCAGTTGGTGGAGCTGAAAAATGGGGAAACTTACAACGGTCATTTGGTCAGCTGCGATAACTGGATGAACATAAACCTCAGAGAGGTTATATGTACGTCAAGGGTAAGAATATACATGCTGATTCTAGGAAAGACTTCTTATTTACTTAATTGAGCTTAAGTTTAAGATCTATGAAATAAACACAGAAAGATAACGCTGTCCGAATGAATTGTAATCAATTTCTTTTATAATAAAAACTAAAACTAAATAAAATTTACCAATATATACTAGACATTTTAAAGCTTAGTATCGATACCTAGTATATGCTAGTATTTATATATTTATTTTTTTAATTTGTTAATTAATCAAAAGTGTTTTTAATTTATAATCAATGAACCCTAGAGTTAAGCTATAGATATTCAACTCATTAGAATCTGACAATTGTATTAGGATGGTGACAAATTCTGGAGAATGCCTGAATGCTATATAAGAGGCAGCACAATAAAATATCTGAGGATCCCAGATGAAGTAATAGATATGGTAAAAGAAGATATACAGATGAAATCAAGGGGACGCGGCGAAATGAAGGGTCGAGGTCAGAATCAAAGAGGACGTGGTGGTGGAAGAGGTAACGATTTTTCTTTACAAAATTATTAACCCTCTGTATATAAAAAAACATCTTTAATGTACTTTTTTGAAATGTCTATTTTTAAGAAATTTTTTCCTCAATGAAAATGTTGAAATATTTTATAATTTGAAACATTTAAAATGAAGACTAAGCTTTTTGAAAACTAAACTTCAAAGGAACAGTAAATGAAATTTTGTTTTCATATTATCCTATAGAAGACAATTATCAACAATCTGATGAAAATCTTTAAAGCAATCTATTCATTGTTGTTCAATATATATCTTACAGGTACCTTTGGCAGAGGAGGAAGAGGTCCAGCACCATTGGGTCGTGGGGGTAGTACACAAGTCGGAAATAAATCACAAAATAAACCAAGACCTAAATGAAACCAAATATTATTTTTATTTTACTTCAATTACATAATTCTACGCGAATACTCGAAAATATTAATTTTCTTTTGCGAAGATTCGTCACTTATTCCGATTCCTTATTGTTCCACATAATCTTGTAAACTTAATATCTTAATTTATATCAAACTACAAACTATATTGCTCGTGTGAACATTGTACTTAGTTGTACATATCAGGAGACACAAGCGCAGCAATATTACAGTATTCTTTTGCACGAGACCGTGAGTTACGGTACATTTTATAGTAATATAAACTATAGTGAATACTTTATTAGGAATGCGTATAAAAATTATAAGAAATTTTTTATTTAATTTTTTGTCGCAAATTGCATTAATTACAAAAAAATACATATAATAGTTTATTGTTGTAAGAATAAAAATGATCTATGAAAATAATGACAATTTTGTAAACTTCTGAATAATTAATTTTGTAAGTAATTATAATATAACACATAATTATTTGTGTAAATGAAAATCTGAAATCTATCTTGTTTTATTTAATTTTGATTAATCATGATGAAATTAAAATAAATTTTTTAGTTTCAATTGTTACCTTTATACTAGTAGGAAAATTATCTACTATATATATAGGAAATAAATTTGTATTTAAAAAAGGAAGTTTTTATTTTACTCGTTCATAGTCTTACAGGATTATGTAATGACTATATTGTGAAATATACTATACACAACATCCTTACTTTCTAATAAATAGAATAAGAGACATGTAATGTACATCTTTATCAATAGTAGTTTATTGTATTAATCAAAGTATAGCGATGGTTATAGAGATTACGTCAACCGATCATATCTATTGTTCGATATCATTGAAAATAGCCGATAAACTTATATAAAACAAGTTTTTTGCAGTGAATGCAATTACATTTTCTTTTGTATATTTGTAATTATTATTTGGTGCCCATCCTTATGTTATGAATACGTGGAATAAGAAGTACTACAAGCAAAAAACTAATTATTTAAATGCAGTTCTAAATATTAAAATTTAATATTATTTCATATCAACTAAACAAATATCTCACTCACTTAAATTATGTGCCTTAAAAGATACTATTATGACTTAGTGCATTGTAATTCATCGTCCTTCAACTGTAAGTAAAAAAAATATCGAATTAATATATTTTTAATATAAAATTTTTGGATAAGAATAATTAAATTTTTAATAGATTAAACTTACTGTATGAAGCGAGATCGATTTCGTCCGGTAATTCTGTAATATTTACGTCAAACCTTTCTTGAACATCATTCAATATTTTTGCATCACTTTCATCGCTTACTAATGTAATGGCAAGACCCTGCAAAATATTGTTAAATGAAAAAATCATATACATAATTAGAAAAAGCGGTTGCAAATATTTCACAATTCAAAATAACTTTATTCGAATTAATTATCAATAAGTCAATATTAAATATTCAGTTTTTGTTTTGATTTTATCAGCGTATAATATATAGTGAACATTGTTACAGATTTTAAAATGTTTTCATTATACATATATAATTTAAACATTTGATGTGGAAAATTACTACGTAAATTACTACGAAAATTGACTTCATCGTAAACAGTCAGAATTTATTACCTTTGTACCAAAACGACCAGCACGTGCAACTCTATGCAAATATGTATCGGAGTCTTCTGGCATATCATAATTAAATACAATGTTTACACGTTCTATATCCATACCACGTCCAAATAGGTTTGTCGCCACCAAAATACGCTGAAAATATTACTCGTTTTTTCAATCATATCCTGTACATAATTTGAAGAACTTAGTGTAAAAATCCTACTTACTTTCTGAAAATCTTTGAATTGTTGATATCTGGATAATCGCTCCTCTTGTGTCATGCCTCGATGAATTCCAATCGCAGGGAAATTCTGTTCCGTTAAAAGTTGTGCTAAAGCCATACATCTTTGTACAGACTTCACAAATATGACAACCTATACAAAGTAATCATTAAAAGGTAAATAGTATACATATAGTATTGATAATACAACTGGTATATCTGAAGAAGAAACATTTTTAATTTAATATCTTAAAAGGTTAACTCGTTTAAACGTAAATCATTCTTAAAAATAAATACTTGGAAGAATCTTCGTCAGAATTGGTGAGTAGTGATAAGATAGTCATCATAGGAAATAAGAAAAATTATTGCATCATGTAAAGATTCTCCACGATAAAAAAAAATGGATATCCACTGCAGATTGTCCTAGTTAGAAAACAAACCTGATTAAACTCAAGAACATCAAGTAGTTCAAACAACTTCTTGTTCTTCTCGTTTTCCTTCAATTTAACGTAATGTTGCTGGAGACCGTTCAAAGTGAGCTTCGCCTCGTCATCGACATAGACTTCCATGGGCTGCACAAAGAACGTTATTTCATAAAATACACAAATTATACAGTGCCTATGTATAATTCTCAGGCCGTAGGAATTTGCGGCTGTGTCTGCAGTCTCTATGTACTCATTGTTTTCGCCGTCTAAAAATCGTGCAATTGAATGCACGATAAAGAGACGTCTGTTTAAAAATACGAGTAAAACAAACTAAAATGATATCCCTTGATGCAACTACAGCGTTTGCACAAAAATGAAAGTTTTTTTAAAATACAGAATCTTTAAGAGATACAAAAAAAGACAAAGCCAAACCATTTTTTTTTCCTTGTAAATGTACTACCAAATATGTATCTTTTTCTTCCTTTGAAGAAACAACATTAGGTTCGTTAAGTTACCGTATATATCCGTAAAATAGAAAGTCCCGGCAAGAGACTCCCGCATTTCAGTTGCAGAGAATAATCATAATCATCGATCGAGGTTAGTCATACAGATTACATACGGTCCGGCGACTTCCATCTCTGGGTAGTGCCAACAATGAAAACTCAGCAGTTTGTCCCAACTGAACTTAAGAAGGCGCACTCATGACAGAACGTTCGGTCACATCCGCTGGCCACTCGATGCCAAAATCTCTTCTCCCAAATTTCTGGCACATTAAGAAGATGCCCAGAATCGACTCGCATTACTCTGGTTGGCATAGACGCTCAGCTCTTCACTTCCGGTATCCACTAAGCCGCGACCCGATTTGCGTCACTCGTACGAAATAAAGAGCGCAATTTACAGATACACGAAGATTCGCGTGATTTAGCTTTCATGTGACTTTACGGTTTTTTTTTACGACATGAAATTGCTCGATTCATGCACGGCACTTGCATCCTTGTTGACTTCACTCGTACTACGAGACCACGATCGCAATCGAAATCTTGGCACCGAGACAAGAAAACTTTAGTAAAGCTTTTAATATGCGATTGGATGAACGCGAATACAATAGAACTATGCTATGCTTTCATATTTCTTTTTCCTAACTAATCCTAATCATTCCCCTGAGTATCCTCTTGCATCTTCTTTCTTGTGCTCTTCTGTCTTCAGGTTGTCTTGAAGTCTTCTTAGCCCCCCACCCATAATTGCAAACAAATCCCATAAGTGCATACAGAGCCTAATTCTATTCTAACTCCTCCTGACGATTACCCATAAGAAATATTTCATATCCCTATCTTTTTTTCTCCCTCAATATATTCCCTGAACGTATTGTTATCTTTATTATGTGTTGTCCCTTTAATGCGTAGCAACTAATTAAAGGACTTTACTATCGATTGGAACTCTAACTCGGATCTTTCAAACATCGTGTCGGTTGACTCGATTTTAGATAAATAGGTGTATGCTTCCCCTCCACATGTATATGCAGATGATGACACATCAGATATCGAGTTTAGACTTGGAATCAGAATCGGGAGGAGCAGTGAGATATTATGTTGGACACGAGTGTCGAGCATATGATTGCGCCGTTTATCGAAAGATATCGAACGAGATTCATTTTTTTCGAACTCGGTATTCATTTCTTCAAAGCGGCGTCTAAGCGCCTAACCCGCGGATGCGCCGACATTGATATTTATAGTGTGGCTTGAGCTTTGTCCTGGACACGAATATGCCAACGAGGCAGGAGCAATCGTAGATCGAAGTGAGGAGGAAGATTGTGTAATTACATCTTGCATGAATTTTTTGCAGACAGGACGTATCTCCTTGGACAGCGTGGCACTGAACATCATGACTTGTTTGCTGTGCGGTGTGCTTCTAAATATTTCCTGTACGTCCCGGCGCATATCTGTAACAACATGTAGCGCAATTATTTATTATTATTTGAAATGCGAATGTTAAAAATAAAATAAATTTTAAAGAATCGCTCAGTTGAGTGGGTGATGGAAAAAATAGTCATCATAATAAATTAAGACTTTTTCACACATCATGTAGATTCTTTTTAATAAATTTTAAATTAATTAATTAGTTGTTTTATGACATACCTAATAATTCAAGCATCTTGTCGCATTCGTCAAGAATAAAATGTTTCAGGTGTTTTAGATTCAGTTTTTTATTCCGTACAAGAGCAAGAATACGACCAGGGGTGCCAACAACAATATGAGGACACACAGTCTTCAACATCTCTTCATCTTTTTGGATAGGTAAACCACCGAAGAATACGCCAACCTTTAACAAAAAGAATTTTATTAAAAACCAAAAATATAAATCTTCTTACAAGATTAGGAAGAGATAGATATATCAGAAATATTATCTCAATCAAAAATTTCAGTTGTCCCTTTCTACTATAAATTGTATTCATCATTGTATGTACAAAAAATACAAATAAAATATAGACGGCTGTGAGACAGTTCACTTCCTTTCATATTTTTTAGTACAGAAAATATTGAATATTCATTAGAACATAAAAATATATTATGATTCAAATTTAGTGCTAGTATATTATGTAAAAATTGTTTATAATGTAAATGTAATAAAATATTTTATAATTTATTTAAAAATTCATGTAACAATATAAAATTTTATATTAAAAAGAACTTTTAAAAGCTACACAATATTATTCTACTTCGTTACAATATTATTCTATTCGTATATAGTTTATACACAATCAAAATGACATAAAACTTACTTTCACATGTGGCATGTATTTGCTAAACCTCTCATATTCTTTACTGATTTGAAAAGCCAGTTCTCGAGTGTGACACATTACTAGGACATAGACTTGGTTCTCTGTTAATTCCAGTTGCTGAAGAGTAGCTAATACAAATACAGCCGTTTTTCCCATACCCGATTTTGCTTGGCACAGTATATCCATGCCAAGAACTGCTTGAGGAATACATTC